GCACTGAGCAGGCAGGGGATAATCAGTTTGTACCTGCACAACTCCTGCACGCACTCAGGAGCCAGCAGGACTCCCCCTTGCAGATCCCTGCTCCTCACATCTCCAGCAGGGAGCTCTCACCTGCCCCAGTGATGCTCCAAAAGGGTTAAGCACTGCCAATTAAAGTAAAACTGAAGGAATGGCCTCCACTTCAGAGCATCTGACCTGGATTCAGAACAGACAGAACGCTGATTTTGGAATGAACTCCATTTCTGCAGCAATTCTGGGGAATACATTATGCTGTACCTCCAAGCAATCCATGAATAATGATAGCAGCCTTCAAATAGCCCAGACCTCAAACTATTCCCCACCTGTCTCCTCATCTGAATACAATTTAATTCACACAGGCTGTGTGGATTTGATTTTCTGGAGGTGCAATTATTGCAGTTCTTGCTGTAATGCTGATTAAGACAATGCCCAGACTTCTCTCTCAGAACCCTCTTACGGAACAACAATTCTCTGAAAAAAGAAAAAACCAACTCAGCTGCATATGCAAAGAAAGCAGGCTCCAGGAACAACAAACTGGAGAGAGGAAAATTGCATCCATCTGACCCATCCCTCTTGATTTTCCCCCCTTAGCAATCTACCACAAAGTTTTAAAAGCAGAGTCCTGAGAAACACAATCAAAGTGTGTCCCACAGACCTGCAGTGCAATTCCTGCCTCTGTCCAACCCTAAAGCATGAGCATTCTGAAATGATTACATAAAATCTTAGAGGAAAAGAAGACAATAAACAAAAATAGCACAACTGACACTGAGCCTAACTTCTGAAAAAGTCTGAATAGATTTTATTTGTTAATCTGGGATATTCTTCATTCACTGTTACAGGATGAGAATAACTACAGTCAGTAGGTCACACCAACAGGACATGTATTTTCAAAATAAATTATGTTTTCTTAGACTCCTTATTACAAAATACCTTTGACATAGAAATTAGGCTATTGAAAGGTGAGTGCATTAAAATGCTATTTGAAATAAAATGTTAAGACCTGATATTTACAATCTTTACCTCCTAATTGGAACTTTTGCTTTCTTTTAGACCCTTCTGAATACTACACTCATATCAGTCCTTTGGTCTCATGATGAATTAAATGGGTTCTGATGCTCTGGAAATAAGACTTGGACTCTAAAATAAATCTAAGATCATGTAAGAAGTAAAAAAATGTACATGAAATATCAAAATACAGAGATACATAAATCTATGCTAGATGGTAATATTTTCAGGTAGTAGTTTGTTTAAACCATGCAAAGCTTTTTCACCCTTGAGTTTGAGAGTTTATCTGCTGCATAAATCCAGCGGAGAAGAAAAGGAAAGTGAAAAATAGTAAACTAATAACTCACTCCTCCTTTATGGTACTTGAATTTATTCTGTTGCTGAAAAACAACAATTTCAAATACATCCAGAGATGAAAACAAACCAATCTGCTGCACTTCTGTGCAAAACAGATATGAAGACTGATGACCGAGGTGTGCAAGGCAAGGAAATGAAATTGTGCAGCCACAGAGCGCGGGGTGACCCCACAGCACGGAGCTGATCCTGCTCTCTCGGATCCCCCCCTGCTGCAGGGAGAGGCTGGGGAGGGAAGGGAACCAAACAAACCCAGCTGAGCCAGCAGCAGACCAAGGGAGCCACCTGCAGTCTGCAATCCTGAAGCAAATTCCTGGGGAGTTCAGAGGTTTCTCTTCCTTTTTCTGTTGCCAAAGCAGCGCAGGAAGCTGAGCTAGAGCAGCACAGCCACACAAAACAGAGATCTCTGCATCAGCTGAGCCCTGCTGCCCCACACCTACAGATGCAGCTGCCTCACAGGAAATCTGGCCCAGCTGGATCCACTGAAAGCCTGAAATGTTGAAGTTCTCTGATGAATTAGATCTGGGCTTCTCAGCATAGCAAATTCAAAGCCATTTTCTACACGTACTAATTGCTGCTCTTTGTATTTACAAGTCCCAAATGCAAATGAATGCAAAGAATTTCCTTCAAGTTGAATGGTGCACTGACCTACCATATATTCTTTATATACGCATTATTTATATACATATTCTAGACATTATACATATAAAATCAAAACCTGAACATTTTGTTCATGCTTTGCTCAATTACAGCTCACATGGAAGTTTGTCTTTTCTCTTGTCCCTTCCCACTCAAATTCCCATAATGTGGAAAATACCACTGACCTATTAGGACCTTGCTTCAGTTTTGAAAACATATCAAAATGATTGTTGAATTGGATTTTAAAAGTCTAATTGTAAAGCAACGGAACCCTGATGGAGAAGTTTTCCCTTGAGGCAAGCTGGATGGATAATGAATTCTGCATTGGAACAATCCCAGTAGTTACAGACTATTATGTACTAATTACTACCTTTACAGACCTACTGTACACATAATTAATTTCTTCAGAGCACTACTATCATTCTTGACTGGCAAAATACACAACCTAAATTACAAGAGGCAGAAATTAACATGATCCTTTAGGGAGAAGGCATTAACTTGCTTTGCAGTGTTTTGCAATTAGAGCATCAATCACACAGTGAGGGATGATTTGGAGAGCAGCAGGCCCAGCCCTGAGCACCGTCCCAGTCCTGAGGATGGGATGTGCCACAACCTGGCTGCAAACCACAGCACTGCAGCCTTCACCTGCCCTGGCAGGAGACACTTCACATTCAATTTATGGGATTTAACATCCCACGAATCAAACAGGAGCTTTTGGACATCATATTCCAGCAAGCACTGAAGACATGGCAGTGCTGCTGCTGCCCTCCCTTCTGCTGGTGGCCAGAGAGAAAATTTCACATCAGGGACAAAGGCAAAGTTTGGTAAAAGAGTGATTGCCATAAAATGACCTGCTTAAATTATTTCAAAGATCATGTGGTTCTTGGCAAGAACACCAGCATTTTAAACTGTTAATTTCAGTTGTGGGTTTTAGGACATTGTACAGAATTAAATCATACACAGCCCAAACTCCATCAAAAAGCAGTAGCCCAGGTTTCCTGAGATGCATAACTACACTGCATTAATAATATAACATGCAAAAGTTATTGTTCAACTTCACAACAATATTTCTCCCCAGAAGTACCCCACCCCTTCAGCTCTGGCTGCACTCCTCTAAAGCAGACAGCACTCAAACAGCAGCTGGCAGCTCAGTGACAGCAACATTGAGTCATTTCTGGAGTATCCTAAACCAAAACTGTGTGACATGAGAGAAATTCATCGTGTTTTTCTCATTGTACCAAAGAGCCATGAATAGCATTCAGAGGTTAATCAAATTTCAGTGCTACAACTTACAGGGAATCAGGAATTTTTAATAAATGTGCACACTACCATTGCTTTTACTTCAGTTACCATTCCCAGTGGCATTCCAAAATTCCACAGAACACAAAACAGTAAACACTAAGTCATCCAAACTGCTTTTGGCAATTGTCAGTTTGCTTCCACTCATCCCTTTGTTTGTTTTACATGCTGACTGTGCTCCTGGGAGAATATCACATGCACTTCTATTTGGCTTTTCATCACTCTCCTGTAATGCACTCGTGAAATGGGATAAAGCAAGAGCGAAATCTGATCCCAGATGATGCCTGAATTCAGCATTTGGGACATCATGGAGCTGCTTAAGGACAATGGGAGGAAGAACAGTGAACATCAATCCATGTTTCCCTTTCAGATGGCAGCTGCAGGAAAAGTTGCTTCTGGCATGCAATTCTTTGGGTCTGTGCTGCAACCAAATGCTCCAAGAGTCTTTTTGACTTCCAGCAGGTTCTCAAGTTTAAAAAAAAACCTTGAAACCAGACAGACAACTCCTCCTTTCTGCAGGAGTCAGCCAAGTATGATTTTCACATCCTGAGCTCTGTGCAGCAGCATTTTTAATGTGCATCCTTTGCTATGGCATCTTGTTTTCTACAGCCATTAACTGAGAACAAAACAAGGGAAAATATCTGCAAGGCTATCAGCACACCAAGCTATTGGAGGAGCTGCTGCTGTTCCCTGTTTTACAACTGTGCAACTATGTCAACAAGAATTTCTTCTCACTGCAAACTGTCAGCTATGTCAACATTTCAAGAGGGTTTTTTCAGCATTTTTAACGAAGAAGCTTTTCAGGAATTCTGAAACATTTCTTCAGATTTCTGGTGCAAGAATTCAGCTCAAGGCAGAAGCTTGTCCTTGTTTAGAAGGGGCTCACGCCATTCTGTCAGCTGCTGCTGGGCATTGCTTCCTGCCACACCAAAGGAAGTGACCAACTCCACAGCATTTTACCCTCCCTGCAGTGCTAGGAACCAAGAGTTAATGCAACTTAGGCATGGAAAAAAGGATAAATTACTGCAAATGATGCTTCTGAATTACTGCATGGAATAGCTGAACATTTGGACCAGAAAGTGCTTCCAAGGTGTGCTGCAAAAAGAGAATTCTAATGGTTTAAATTCACTGACTGAGAGGAATATGAATCTATCTTATGAAAAACACAGCCATGACCAACTCTTTGAAGAGGTTTCAAAAGGACACAGAAAAAAAACCATATTCAGAAATAATTCAAGGAATCTACTCAAGAAATAGTTCATTACAGTCCTCTGAGAGCCCTTCCTGAATTAATCTTTTTTAACACTGGCTTAGCAAAAACTGCTGTTCTTATTCCAGAAATTCTCAGCTAGGAATAATAATGCAAATAAACATGATTTTAGGATCAGAATTTAAATTTAATTATAATTCCATTAAAAGAAAACTCACATCTGTCTGCAACATACAGTGCACTTTTAAAAGGTATTATTGCAAAAAAGGTTCCTCCCCTCATGCTGTAAAGTGAAGGGGGAGCAATTCTTGTAATAGACTGTTATGCTTAATATATGTTTTAAATCATCTTCCTGCTATAAAACCATCAAATGAATTCCATGGTATTGCACAAAGCATAAAAGAAACTGCCATTACACAGTTTTAAACTTAATAAAAACAAAATAAAGAGCAAAGTAAGAATGTACCTTTCATTTGGGTTCCAAAGGTAAGTGCCAATTTTGCAAACAGCTCCGGGTCCTCAAATTTATCTTCTTCAGCTTTTACCCAAAAGCTGTTTTCTCCTATTTCTTGAGGCTCGATCTGCAAGGAAAACAGAGTCAATCAGGAGTGTTTCCAACAGCCAAGGTGAAACAAATGCTACAGAACCTCAGGGTTCAGTAGCTCAGCCCCGTTCTGGAATGTTCCATCCCTGCTGTTCCTGCACAAGCACGGGGAGCTGAGCTGCCCACAAATGGCCTTTATTGTACTTCTCCCACTCAGCAAGTTCTCCAAACAGAACTAAAAACAGCAGCTGGCTCTGAAAGTGTTCTAGCTCTCTCTAGAGAGTTCCCAAACTCTTTTCCCTGCCACCTGAGAACTGTGTGGAACAATTTCCCAGGAAATGGAGTGGCCATGGGGACCTGGCAGAGACTGGGCCTGAGCTCTCTGCTGGCTGGACCAAAGCAGGAAAATGCTCTGCAATACAGGAGCTCAAAAACAACTTGACTCTTCATGTATGACTCAGAACTGCTGCTCTGTTTTCAAAATATGCTCCTCTAACAGCTTTGAGCACATTATTAATTATTGTTTATAAATTTGTTAAAATGAAAATAATTTCCAAGGGCTATTTAACTTCAAGATGAAATGCAGGGAATTGAGCAATACTGCATTTGTCAGCCTCAGTCCAATTTCCCTGCAACATCCTGGTCCTCCACCTTCCAGCCCTGCTTTACAGCAGCTCCAGGGAAGACATTTTAAAAAACTACCTTAATCCAACACTAATGGGGAAGACAGTTACAGCAAAAGGGACTAAATTAAACAGTAAGAATTTTATTCCTCAAATGATGGCTCCTTAAAAGTGATGATCAAACAGACTTTGCACTTTCTCAGCAGGCAGGGGATCTCTGGCACTGTTCCCAGAGCACTTTAGCAAAGCGTCCATCTGCACTTCCTTCCCATTGTCACAGCCAGTGTTCACAGACACTTCAGAAATTATTCCTACAAACTCCCCAATGGAACTGATCACACTGAAATTGGCTGCAATCACCAATATGTGTTACACAATAAAAGCTTGCTTTTCTCGGTGCTTACAGGACAGCAGTCTATGTCCCACAGTTCCAAAACTCCTGCAGAGCATCCTGATCCACCCTTTCTCCCCAAGACATTTAATTCCTCCTCCCACAATGAAGAATGGAAGTTATCACTTATCCTTTTATGCAATTATTTTATCAGAATTACAGAAAAAGTAAGGATTTTCAAACTGATTCTAAAATTTATTTAAATTAATACTCTAAAAACATGGCAGGCTGTTCAATATCAGTCTAGTTAAATATGGAAAGCCTGTTTTTAAACTGTGGCCACCAGATATGCTTTCAGATTGTTTGAGCACATCTCCAAATATTTTGAAATCATTTAAAATCATTGAAGCATTAATTCTTCTGCCAAAAGAAACTATAAATTGGCATGCCACACATTTCCACACAGGCTCTCTCTCAGCCTGCTGGATCCCTCCTCCAAGGCTGGTGGGATTATTCTGCTGTTTTGTTACCTCAAAGCCTTTTGACTACTCAGAATTTAGAGGAACCCCACAGTATGGAATATATAAAAGTCCTTTCATTTGTCTTGATGATTCCGTGATTTTGGTACTTTTTCCTACACCAAACATCAACACATCTGTCATATTTTAAACCACTAAAAACTGCCAACCACAACTTTAGGATGCAATGATTTAGTCTTGATAACAGATCCAATTATCTAATACTCTACATTAATTTTCTTTCTATGGAAGGAGCAGCAGCTACACTGATCAAAAAGGGGTTTTAAAACAACACAGCCCAGCACACACCTGGATTTTTGTGTAACTTCTCCTGTTAGAGGGACTGGATATACTGAGAGCCAAGAATAACTGGGAACTGCTTTAAGGGCTCACCTGCAAATCAGATTGTGCTTGCACTTTACTGCTCAAGTAATGCTTAGATTCTGAGATGGTTTTAAAAATGAAATGTGATTAAATACAATCAAGCTAAGACACTGGAAGCTCATGATGCCCAAACCTTTCCCTTGAGCAGCCCCATGGCTCCTCCCAGTGGCCACAGCCCTGCTCCAGCACATCACTGATTGAGAACAATGAATAGCTGGGATAAATAATCAACAACTAATGTTAAAGCCTGATATCAGCAATGCCTGAACTCACAGCAACACCAAACATCACAAATCTAAAAAGCTTAAGTTGGTTTGCTTTGCTAGGTATGTGTGAAAGCTGCTTTAAAACAGTTTGGAGATAGAGGTATATTTTCATACAACTTGAGGGCTGTTCACTGCAGCTGAGACAAGGCACTGGAAGTAAGCTGGCTTCTGGGGACACCTGGCACCACAATGACTGGGGGTAAGCTGCCCTCCTGGGACACTTGGTACAACAACAAGCAAATGAATGAGATTTCAAAACCCATCACTGCATGGTACCAAGCCTATCGGTGCAGTGCAGGACGGGAAGGAACATCATCCCCACCCCTCTGGCATACCTTTGACCAGTTGATTCTCTTCATGGACACTTCCAGCTTATACTTCTTCTTCTCCTTCATCCCGTGGGGCAGCGCTGGCACCATGGGGAAGGGGGCAAAGGGAGCCCCTCCCAGGGGGGGAGGCATTGGGGGCCCCCCGAAAGGCGGCGGGGGAGGGATCGCGCCCCCGGGCAGAGGAGGAGGAGGAGGAGGCCCCACCCCTCCGGGCAGAGGGGGAGGAGGGGGCACTGCTCCCCCGGGCAGAGGGGGCGCTGGGGGCACACCGGGCAGAGGAGGGGGAGCTGGGATGGCTGCACCGGGCAGAGGAGGGGGAGGGGGAGGAAGGGATGCCCCAGGTAAGGGAGGAGGGGGAGGGATTGCTGATCCACCTGGCAGGGGAGGGGGTGGGGGAATTGTTACTCCACCTGGCAAAGGAGGTGGGGGAGGAATTGTTACCCCGCCAGGCAGGGGAGGGGGTGGAGGAATTGTTACTCCACCGGGTAATGGAGGAGGAGGAGGAATGATTCCTACACCAGGGAGGGGAGGAGGAGGAGGGATGGCTCCAGCTGGGAGTGAGGGCGCTGGGGATGGTGGGACGTTCTCACTTGGGTGGGCTGGAGGCATTGCTGGGGCTTCTGTCAGGCCTGGACCCTGGAACACAACAGAGGAATTCCCTTCATCAGTGACAGCAGGCAGTTTGATATGAAGCTGAACCAACCAGGATGGTTTTTAGCCAACTGCATCTCAACAAAGTGAGAAATGCAACTGTTCTCCTATTTAAATGAGCAACAATAACAATAGATTATCCCACGTACCATAAAGCTGCCAAGTAAACTGAATAACCTAGCATTTTTATCAAAACAAATTGTTTCAATTTTAAAGAAAATTTAATAGTAGCAGTAACATTTAAGTGAACAGAACAGCATTTTATTTCTTACCAATGCACAAAACATTTATCCCACTTAGGACACCCCAGCAAGCTGGGGCATCAGAGATGAGAATAACCATGGTGAATTTTAACAACACTCATTGCTGCTGGGAGAGCTTCCCCAGCAATCAGTGGAGCAGCTGGTGCAGTGGAAGAGGCCACAGGACCACAGTTTTTCAGAGCTATTCTGACATCTGGAGGGGTGAAGGGTGTGCACAACCTGCCCTGCTGTCGTTTGGAGCTGTCTGAGGGGGCTTCTTTGGTGAGAGGAAGAAAGAGCAATCACAATATCCACTCTAATAAGTTCTTACTAATTAATAAGGAAGTGAAACAGCAGCATATCAAACCATCAGAGGGGTGAGTGCAGCTAAAAATAAGTGTCATCAAATTCTGTGGGGAGCATAACACCAGAAAAGGGAATAGATACCAGAATTACATGGTTAATTAACCAGTGGTCAGCATTACTGTGAATGCCCTGTCATGTCAGGATAATCTGAACTGTGTTAGAATCAATAACACAGCATTAACAATTAATTAGACTAAAAGTACATTTTTTATTTTGCACAAGGCACAATGTGTTTCTTTGCTCACAAGTTACAATGCAACAATTGCTGGAGAACTCATTAAAACATTTGTCACATTTCAGTGGAACACTGGCTTGTAGGAATTTGTAACAAACAAAAATTGGCAAGAAGGAAGGAAGAACAGGAGTGGTTGGGCCTCCACCTTAGTGCCCAAATAGCAAGTGAGATCACAGGCTTTAAGGCAGAAAAAGTAAAGACAAAAAGGCAGACCTTGCCTAGCATTGAAGGAGTACAAAATAAGCCAGACCGAGGCAAAAGCACTAAATTCTAAAATCTGTTAGTTCCTAAAAGGTATAAATGACCTGTCTAAATCATAAAGCTGGTGTAAAAAATAAAAAAGGCTTACATAAAGTGTAAGAGTAAAAACTATATATAAAACCAAAAGCCTTTAAAAATAAACACTTCCAAAACAAAAACTTTCTGCAAAACATACTGAAGCAGCAATGTGAAAGCATAAACATATACCTGCAGGAAAAAAAAAATCAGGCTGGATCCAAGATTTTTGTAGTGTAAGGAACATTTTTTCTCAATAAAGCAGGTACCTGTGACACGTTGAATTTTGTAAAATCTTACCTCCATTAACTATCCTTAGTAACTTATGCTGGCTGCCAAACAAATCAATACACCTTTACCAGACACTCCAAACTCCAGACAGACAAGTTACTCTGGGGCAATTTTTTCTCAACTCCTCCTCAAAAGAAAACGCACTCAGCTGTGGAACTTGATGTGACATTATTTTATTACCTGGGTCCGGAGCTGTTTGACTTCTGATTCAAGTTCTTTGATTTTCTCCTCTCGTTTCTGCAGCTCTGCTTGTGCCTCTTGTCGAGCTGTGAACTCCTCATCAAACTGCAAAGATTTAACCAGAACAGCAGAATTAGTCCTGTTATGGACACACCAGAGCCTACACTGGCAGGAATTCTTTGAACAACATCAGAGCTGCAGCAAGTATGCAATTTTAATTCTTTTAGCAGAATTTTTCTATCTAACATGTTCACTTTTAGCACCAAATTTTTTTCCATCAGTCAGTGACAGGGAACCACCCAGACCCAGCTACTCAGGTCAGGTTCTTCCCTCCAAGAGAACACTGCAGACTTCTCAAACCAAACTTGAGTACACATCTATTGCAGCAAGCTTAAATTCATTAAAGATTAAACCTGCAATCACCATGTTCAAGAACATGTTCTGCCATTTGGCTGAAAATGCCTACTTAGAACAGGCCAGCAAAAAACACCAAAGTTTGGAATTATTTCAATACACACCTCCATAATATCTGAACTTCAGTACTACTGCAGCTAATATAGCACATTTATTCATTTCTTTAAGCTTATACCCATGTTTAAGTTATTTAATTATGATTATTTCAGGACAGGAGACCAACAAGTGGAATTGTGAGAGCCACAATTTCCCAATTTCAGCTGAGAAACAAGCTGGCTGTGGTCCTGTCATGATTCTGTTCCACACCATGAGCAGGACTTACCTTCCTGGAAAATTCTGCTGCTTTCTTTTCACTCTCTTCTACTTTAGCCTTGTCCACACACGCATCTAGAAATTAAACAAAATACCACACACAAATCAAGTCACACATATCACAGCTCTGAGGTGCTTCCAGCCATCGTTTCCCTGTGAGCCCATGACACAAAAGCAACAGGCACTTTTATTTTTGACCCTACCTCATTTCATTAAAGGCTACAGCATTTGGGCTGGTACTCCACAATCACACCTGTAGTTTACATGCATATTTCCAGAATATGACAAAATTCCCAGCCAGTGTAAGAACAGACAGAAGAACACAAAGAAAGACAAGGTAAAACTGCTTCAAGAGTACAAACCAACAAGCTGTGTAAAATTGATGTCCATCCTTCCTCTGTATTTAAAATCTGGGTCCGTGCCACTGCAGTGCAGCACTATCTGAGACACACACTCTTCTATGATCTTGTAATACTGAGGTCTGAAAGAGGAAACATTCACAGGACAATAAGAACATGAACAAAACTTTCTGCAGTTGGGGAAAGGGGCAACTAACTCCTAATATCTGAATTCTACAATTGCCAGAAGAAGCATAGAGTTCCAACTGTTACTTGGAAATATTTTGCATGTGATGTCTCAACCTTGCTATGACACCATGCTGCACATAAGGGAAGTTTACACTGGAAAGAGCAGATCCAAGGCACGTGGGAGTATTTTCAATTATCAGTTGTACAACTTCCATGTTCTTTGAAGCAATGAATATATCAAACTTGAATTAAAAACAAGTGCCCAACAAACAAGAGGTTTTTGGGATGAGGGTGTTAGACTAAGCTTCAAGTCTTTGAAATAAACACAATTATATTTACCAAGACCTTTTTGATACTAACATGGAGCAAAAAGATAAATAACAGCTCAGTCTCAAAGAGTTGCTTTTCAGGCATGAGTTACTCCGTTTAGCAGGATCTTCATTTCCATTCTTGCCCCTGCTGCCCCCAAAACCCCAGCCTGGCACTCACCGGACATAGTAATCGTTCCTGATCAGCAGGAAATGTTGGAGAATTGACAAGAAGTAATTTTCAGAAGAAGTATCTTTCACCATATTGTACAGCAGGTGAAATACTTCGCTCACATCAGTGCAAGCATTGTTAAGAAAATAGCAGTATTTAAAAAAACATTTTTAAAAACAAACAAAATCCCAAAAAACCCCACTGCAGTCAGAACAACCCCCCACCCAAACACAGCTCCCCAGACAGTTCCCATTTTGTTCAAATAAAAACCCTCTCCACACTTTGAGCTCCTATCCTTAGCAGTAAATATTATTTCTCACTAAGATTGAGCACAGAATTTCTGTGCCCTGTTTATCAATTAGGAAATGTTTCATTATTAAATCAGAACCATCAGATATAGATTTCATGTTTTAGAGTCCTGTAAAAACATTTCACACAAAGCTTTGTTCCCACTCTGAGCTCAGCCAGGCTGTTGGCAAACACACTCTGGGCAATCTTTGTCATTTCCTAGCGATGGCCCCGTTTGTAATTACCTGTTCTGCACAGCAACAACATTGCAGGGGATTTTACAGTCCTCCCACTGATTGCCTCTGCCTCCCTCTGCTTCCTCCTAAAACCTGCAAGCAGCCATTCTGAAATCAGGGAACTTGAAATTTCCTGCTCCTTCACAGCTAGAAAAGGCACACATCTGTAGTGCTTCAGAACCTACAACGAATTTTCTTCCTTTTATTACCAAAACTCATTTTTCTTCAAACTTATGATCTTCCACGGGTATAATTTTATCTCTTGATGTATTATGAGACAGAGTTTAGCTTAATAAATGTTATTTATGAAAAATTAATTCAGTTCCCAATGACTTACATTTGACATGCAAATTTAAGCACTAATTATCCAAATATTTTCCAACAAAAAAAGCAACTGGAGAGAAATCTGCTTGACAAAGCCCCTGGTAAGACATACAACTGAGACAAATAACCTGCACATAGAGCACTGTAATTTCCATTTAGTAAAGTTCTGAAACAACACAAGTTAGAACAGCATTTCCTTAAAGGATATTCCATTTCAGCTTTGATGTCATTGAGACGATGTGACAGTTCAAAGTGGTCTTCATCTTTGTTCTCATCAAACACCCTCAGCTGAATATCGAGCTCGTCATTTTCCTTATCTTTCAAGGCCTGTTTTTCAAGGTAGAGTGTATCTTAATTTTCCCTTTCTTAAAGAAAGAATTCCCTCCCTTGAAGGGGAATTCATGAGGAAATGTAAGACATTAACCTTTAGAACAGCAGCAAGTTTCAACTCCATGCCTGGGCTTTTTTATGATAATGATTCAACTGAGAAAAACTAAGGGCAAAACATCAGCTCACAGGGCAGGTATGGGCTACAGAACAAACAAGAACACTTCCAGTTGAATCCATTTCCACATAGCAGCTCCTGCTTGTTAATGTCAGAATTCCATTTCCAAACCACAATAGGTATATTTCAAAACATTAATTGGCATGAGGTTACGAAGTTTAAACAAGTGTAAAAAGATTTGTTCAGATGTTCCACAGCAAATAAAGTCACTAGATCATATTAATCTATCTACATGATATAAACCTAAAAATATCCCTAAGAAAAAATAACATCACACATCAGAAAGTGTCTCAAGGCTGAATGAGCCAAAAATGGAAGTTTTTGTTCCTGACAAATTGACAGTTTTAAAACTTCATATCTTAAAGGTCATAGCAGAATAAATTGTTTCAGACAAATATAAGCAGGCACTCCAATGTCTCTTATCTTTTGCAAGAAAGTGATGAGTACCTTAAATGCCCCTATTTTTGGTGTAAGCATCAGAATGGTTTCTTGGCTCAAAGCTACAAATCTCTCCCAAGTCAGAAATATTCCTGTCTGTGCAGCTGCATGAAGACAGACATGCAGCCTCAGAATGAATTTCTGATTTCATTTTTCTTTAAAATGTCCCAATGCATTCTCAGCAGGCAGATTAAAGAAAACCAGATTTCACAGAAAACAACAGGAACAGCACATACAAAGCAAGTTAATCCAAGATTGGTTCCACAGCCAGATTCACATTGACTGCATGTGCTTTGAGCTCATTATGCAGCATTTGGCTACCCTCATTTAATTTCTAATATATTGACTTGTTTCAACTACTATTCTGCAGCTCATGGGAATCTGAATTCGTAACTGTGCAGGCTGAAGCAGATTTGGGTTGATAATCTGACCCTCTGCACCCCCAAATCCTTCCCATCTGCTGTCCTGGTTAAATAGTTTGGTTATCTTCAGCATTGACAGTGGACAGTGACCAGCTCCTGCATACAAAGGACTTACAGGCAATATTTTCTTCAGGCCACAACGTAAAAACTCATTTCTCAAGTGTATCCTGAAGTCAAGGTCCTCAGGAGATGTAACAAGAGCATTGATGAGCTGCATACATGCAATCTGCAATCAGAAACACAGAATGGAAATCAACACCTTCAGTCACTGTTTCAGTTGATTTATAAAACCAGAGAGATGGAAATTATTTATTATGCAGCACACATGCAACACTTGGGTTTATTTTAGCACCATCAAATACTGCTCAGTTTCCATATCAGGATGCTCCCACTGTATCAAAGGAGTACCACATGAATGATCATTACAGAGAAATGTCATGGACTGGTTTGGGCTGGAAGGGACCTCAAAGCCCACCCAGTGCCAGCCCTGCCATGGCAGGGGCCCCCCCACCCTAAAATCATGCCCTAGTTATTCCCCAACTAAAGTTATTGCACCCCCTTCCGTTTCTCCTCAGCATTCACCACTCTGAACTGTTTCTACAATAACTAACAACTTAAAACCCACCCAATAAACACCCATACCCAAATCAGTCACATCACCAGGTGTTTTTTTCCATTCCTGCAGAGCCCTTGTGCAAAATGCCTGGTCTCAGGGTAGTGGCTAATGCTTTAATTGAACAGCTGTGCACTTTAATTGATTTATTTGAAAACAGGTAGACAACAACACAACACCAAAAGTGCTGATCCACTTTAAAAGACTAAAATGGGACTCAAGGGAAATAGCAAGTTTGGTAGAAGATGTTAACGGCAAATAGAAGTAGCTTCAGAGTAGGACAAAAAAAATCAATAGCTGCAGAGGAAAAAAATCAGATAAAAAACACCTTCCTGTTTTAATTACATTCACCATTTAGCTTTAATAGAACACCTTATGGAGTCTCAAATTTCTATTAAAACACCCTTTCAAAGGCACTCTCTTGATAGAGCTGCATCTTCAGATAATGCAGTATCATCATGCTTGCTTGAATGATTCTTGTTATTTTACTACTATGACATGACTTAACAAGCCAAAGCACATGTCCAATCTGAAATTAATAGAGAGAAGAGGTGCCATCTGCTCTGATTGCTTCTGCCAGAGAGACTCTGCCTTAATGGCTTGTGCTAATACATTCCCAGCAAAGAAGGATTTTGTCAGAACCTCGGTAATGAGAGCCGCAATTGTGCCTTCAGTGAGGTGGCAGTGAGCTTGGGGAGGGGAGCTGGCAGCAATGGGGGTGGTGGCTGTTGTTTGCCTTAAATCAACAAGGTCATGGAGTGGGAGACAACTCCAGAATGGATTCTCCAGTGATAGCACTATTAAGATTAGAATGTCATTTATAGACACTTATTGGCCATCATTAACTCATCAGCTCTGAAACAAGAGGTGCTGATGGTAAACACAGCATTAAGGCAGCTGCAGCTGATGTGGATTTGAGCCAAGACTGGAAAAAGGCATCCCAAGGATACTTGCCCTGCCTGTATCTTTCCCTATCTTTCAGCCAAGGTAGCTGAAAACCAAATTTTAGTACAAAATGTGCATAATTCATGTATAATGAGAAGGCCATAAGTCAAAGTCATCCCTTATTAGGATATTCAGCCACTTGGCCTCGAAGCAAAAATGGCAATACCAAAAAAACCCAACCAATCCCAACCAAAAAAAGCTCACATCTTAATGCCAACCAAAACTCTGGTAAACACAAAACATTTATCTCTATCCATAGACACACAAGCAGCAATGAACATGATCTAAGTCATAACAGTAAAAACCACTCATGCAGATTATTTTATTACTTTATAGAAATAATTTTGAAAGCTCACTAGGTTACGCTCAGAGAGGCACTGGTGGCGGGCGAATGGCACAGGTTGAACACACACAGCAGCAATGCAGAGTCCTTGTTGACAAAAGTACCAATAATATCCTGCTGCACTTCACTCATCCCAAAAGGAACCCTGCCAAAAATGGGCACACCCCGTGCTAACCCTGCCATAATTAGCATATAGCTGAATATTTAAAGGCCACAGGTACTGCAGCCTAAAGTACCAGCACTAGGCCAGATTTATTACCTGAACATTACACCCGGCATCCAAGGAAAGAAATAGAACTGAGTACTCTCTTTACTAAGGTCAAGATTTCTTAATCCTATTTTTGGGACACAAAGTGAGTTCCTTGGCCTCCCACCACTAACAAGTAGAAAATCCAGTACCAGTAAGCCAGTTGTATTTATTTCTCCTCTTTTCCTGATGACCAGCACTAAAAGATGTGTGAATCACAGCTCCCCAGGCCATACACAGCTCAGCCTTTCCCTGAAGCACACACACACACTCACCTGCAGCTGGATGAACTCGTGGTTCTCCAGGCCCTCCACGATCTGGGAGAAGCGTTCCTCCCTGTTGTGCCTCTCAGCAGCAGTGGTTATAGCACCCAACAGCTTGTCCAGCCTAGGAGAGAGACGCTGTCAGGAGAGCTCAGCACAGCCAGCTCGCTCAAACACACTCAGCTCAATGCTCACACAGCTCAAGGCTTAGTGCACTGACACAGTTTAAATGCATTTACCTACACACAGTTGAAAACAATCCAGGAACCAATGTTATAAATGTCTACAAGATTAATGTTGAAATGAGAAAAAAGGGAGACAATCTTTTTTTCAGCAATGAAACAACCAATGAGAGGAAAAAATCCCTCCCTTTGCCAACTGTGCGCTTGATAACAGTGGACATGTTTACCATCAGGAAATTCTAATAAACTGTCCTTTCAGGAATCAGAAGGTTTTAATCCATTTCTTGCATAGAAGACATGAAGTTTGCCCATTTTAACCTTCAGTAAATAAACACAGTGGGAAATTTACGGGAAACATATGCCAAGTGATCATCTTTGTTTTAAAAATCTCATGGGCAAGTGCTAAATAACTCCAAGTTGAACTGTTCCAAAGCCCAGCTGTCAATGGAAACTCCTGGTTCCTGTGGTAGAGGTGATTTGTCCTTTCACACCTTCCACTTCAGCCACACTGTGTAGGTCTCTGCTCATTTGCTTTTCTCTGATTTAATACTGAATTAGGGCAACACAACAGGTGAAGTCTCTTTAATTTTAAACCACATTAAAGACTTAACAGGTTACATTTGTTTCACTGATAACTTTTCTCACCTGTGTCCAAATTAACAACTCAAGCACCAAAAAAAGCTTCAATATCTGACTTACATGTTTTCCTCCCCAACAATGCAGATAGCAGAAAGGATTTTCACTGTCTCAGTCATCATGTGGGGTTGCTTTGGATCAATTGCTCTTGACAGCAGCAAGAGGCCCCTTTCATCTCCTAGGATCCTTTGCAAACCGTACTGGCAGAAACAAAAAGCTCTCGGTGAAAAGGTTGTGCTTGACTTGGAAATTCATCCCCAACTTGAGATCCTGAGGGATTCTCCCAACCTCTCCCTCCCAGAGGGGTTTGGCAGCACCTCACCAAAACCCCACCACCCCCTGGCCATCACTGCTTGGGGACACAGGGCAGGGGCCCCAGAATGCATTTGAGGCTTTCTCCTGATACAGAGATTCAGCTCCTCAGGACCTTGTACAATCAGTACCCACCAAAAGACAAGTCAGGTTTTATTTTCTGTCTATAACTGAAACACCTCAGAAATATGAAAACTCTGCTTTTCTCCCTTTCATTTCTAAACTGAGCAAAAGTGATTTATAATTACTTTTATGCAGTTTTATTTGCTGGGGAAGATACATAAATACAAGACTTTGGATTTTGCTATGAATAAAGCAAAATTACAAGTTTTACACATCAGCTTCTAGAAGGTCTCATACTCTGTAAACCTGAGTAACCTGTGTTAGAAACAAATCAGATACAACTTAACCTAACCCTTTACCCATGACCTACCAACTTTAAAGCTGCAGCTAAAAAGAGACCAAATGCTACTCAATTTAAATCAGGTAAAAAGTACATTAACAAACAAGTACTGAAATCTGAACTTTGAAAGCTTTTTAAGCTTCCAAGTAATTAATTTCCAAATTTACTTACCTTAAATTTATACTATCATCCTCTCTTTGTCAAACATTTTACTTCTAAAAATCAGTACTATTTAACACAACTAAGAAAAAAGTGGAGAAAGGTTCATGAAGGAGACTCTCAACAAAAGTCACACTAAGTTTAAGACTTGCATTTCCAAAGAGTTAAATACTGGATATACAAACTTTCCTTCCCTCTCCAACATTTACCATGTTATATACATGTTGAACTCAAACCCAAACATGATAAAATATGTGAATTTAAAATAATACATACTTTATTGTTCATAAATGCTTTGAGGCACTGGATAAGTTTATGTTGATTCTTCTTATCAATACTTTCTTGCCTTGAAAAGAAAGGGGAAAATCACATAAGGAAAATCCTCACAACCTCCCCATCCCTCCCTTCAAATGATCCAGGTCCTTACTGTTTCTTGTCCAGAAGCTTTTCCAACGCATCCAACAGGAGCCCAAGACCTTCATGTCCAAAATTGTTAACCCAGCTGGAAAAAAAAAAAAAAAACCACAAAGAAAAATGCTTTTAATGATTTCTTAATCAAATGCAGAACTTGCAAAGCCATTTCTCTGTTACTGCTTGTGCATCCCCTCACAGGCTCCACTCCTGTCTCACTTCCCAAAAGGTCTGATCAGCCATGAATGAAGGCAAACAGCTCCAACAAGAACAAATTGCTGAAAGCCACAGAGAAAGGTGAGGAGATGCTGCAGACAGCTGCAAACATTTCTCTGCTCAGACCAGGGCGCTGAGAACACTGCTCTCCTGTCAACAAGCATTAGCAAATGCCTCTGCTTCCCAAAAAACCCCAAAGCCCACAACTCCTGCTCAGCAAAAACAGCATGATGAAAACTCCTGCAGAAATTGCTCTGCTCACCTGACGGGGTTGCTGGTTAGAGACACTCTCAAAGACTCCAGGCAATTAAGAAGTTTCTCATCTGAAATTCCAGACCGCAGCTCATGGATGTATTCTTGTGAGGACAGGGTACATTCGTGCTTGCTGTTTTTGAGTCCCCCCTAGCACAGAAGGCAGAACGCTGCTGAGTGTTCCACTGATCAAACAGTGCTCAGATGATAAAATAAAGGACTAATATTTCCACAGGAATTTCCAAATCACAGTACAAGTATTCAAGACAGCTGATTTGACTTGGATTTGTCATCAGTGTTTAATACTTTTGGTTTTACATCACAAGGATAATTATTTTTGCTGGAATCTTTTTCACTTTGAGTAAAAGTGCATGTACTACAAATGGAACAGAAAAATTTAATTCCATCATTCAGCTGTATTAACACACATAATGAGAGTGTATTGGAAACAACCATAAAGAGAGACACACAAAAAACCCAGTTCATGCAACTTCCTGAGCCAATTTTTTGCTGTACCATAGTTCCTGTTTGACCCCTAATAGAGATCTCTAGAGGATCTTGTTTGCTGCAAAAAAATCATACAAGGGATTTGACAAAGAGCTCCCTCCTGCTGAAGTGCCACTACACAAGAATAACTACTTACACAGTATTTCACTATTAAATACCTGAATATCAGTTTTTAGAGCTAGAGTATTCAAACTCTTGAACAAGACAAAACACTTTTCCAAAAGGTGCAACTAATCTTTTGTACAGCTCTGACAAGTTGCAGCAGGCTTATCTCAGAAGAGTGGTTTTGATTCATTTGCAGCTCCTAAAGCTCCTTAGCTCTGAAGGGTCTGGTGAAGAGAGCCTGATAAAGATGTCATGGGTGCAAAGGCAGCATCAAGTGCCTGTCCTAGAAGAGGATTTATATGCATTTGGTTGTAATTGTATCACTTCCACCACAAATATTCCATTTTTTGTCTCGCTTTCACAAAGCTCCACTTCTTATGAAGCTTCTGCTTTGCTCTCTTCAAATTCTTACCATTCATTTTCCAAAAACGCACTAAATATGGCTGATGGCAAAATGACTTGGCTAAATTTAAATGAATGACTTTGACCTAGGCAGATTCCAGGCACAAACCAGAACTGTGCTCACAATACACTTTGAGATTCAGAACAACACCAGGACAGACTGACTGCAGTGAGACATCAGGCTCCTCTGCACTGTGCCAGCTTTGAGGCTGCTCCTTGCTGACACGCAAAGCACCTTCAGCTGGGCACCACATCAAAGGACCAAGGCTGAGATGAGTAAGGATAAAAAGGGACCAGAATCAGTCTCCATCAACATCCTAAACAAAGAGATGCTCTTCTACCAAAAGAAAAAGGAATAAATGGGTGGGGTTATATTTATAGCAGTAGGAGCTGATTGTAAATCAGATTAACATATCAAATATCATCAAAACTCAGAAAAATCATCACTCTGAAGGACCAAAAGGTAAAGAACTAGGAAAAACGAACAGCTTTATCCCATTGGATGGATGAGAATCAGAAAAGATTTTGTGTGTAACTAATGTACATCATCTCCACAGTACAGATCCAACTGGGCACAAATGCTGTCATTTCAGCCATTCCCCAAATGGAAAGGAAGAGAACAGAAATGCTGCTGAGAGCCACACAATGTACAGAGATGAGGCAATGTCAGTCAGTGCCTGTTAAGCTGGACCCTGAACAGCTCTCTGGAACGCAAGGCAGGGACTCCTCCCCAGAGCTGAGCTTGCCCTTCCTCTGCTGCCAGCTCCACAGCAGACTCCAGCTCACACCGGGGCAACCTGAACTCTTGGCTGTTTTGTTTCATTTTTAAACCAAGGTGGGATCCTGCTGCCTCCTCCTTCTGTGCCATCCGGGCCACTGGCAAAGCACCTCTGCTCTGCCTTGTCCCTTACTTTGAGAAGATCCATGACTCTCAAAAATAGATCAATAGTTCCAAGAGCTGGCAGTGGGCTCTGCTGAGGCTCCTTCCCATGGCTTGCAGGAGAGGCCATTTCTTGATTGGTTCTTTGAAAAGCACCTTTAACTCGACAGCCATGAGGAACCAACTCCTCTTCCTCATTTTCTTCCTCCTTCAAAATGGATGGTCACTCAAGACAGCTCATAAAAATCCATTCTTGAAATCTTGCAGAGAATTTTCAGCTTACCAGGATTACTTTGTTATTCCCTGATTTATTAATCAATGCCTCAGTCTCAATCCACTTCACCTCTAGCCATACTGACTCGAATGCTGAACCAGGTGCAACTTCTTTTATTTCACTATTCAAAGAGAGTTTGACTGGAATACTGTTTCTAAGAATTGCTACACCTTTATATGGATCAGATTTTAGTACAAACATTTTTCATTTACTTCGAGATGCAGGGCCTCAGTGATAAATGTTTACAGAATACCTAATAAAGATGGAAGTGAAGTAGAAAGAAACTGAAGAGGGCTGGGTCCCACATCAGAATGCTCAGAGATTAAACCAATGCTCAAGAATGAAAATATCAGGAATTCCCTTATGACTGGTCACCTTCAGTGTTACAATTAAGGCAGAGGAAGATTCCCTGGTGCCAGCTCAAATAGAGCCTGCACCACACAGCAGTCCCAGCAGTGCTGATGGTCCCATGTAAAACTCAATTTAAAGTTCAAGCTCCCAAGCTCCCATGAGCAGGGAAACCTCTTCTCTGCCATCTCTACACCCAACAGCACTACCAGGAGCACCCCAAAATTCCTCCCTGATCACGGTGGACCTGTAAACCTTGAAGGGAACAGCTCCCTGTGCTGGCAGCAGCAAACAGGTCCCAAAGGATGAACCCTGCAGGAGGCACTCGGAGGTGCAGGAGCTCTCCAAGCAAGGATATGCAAAGCCACACACCAGGCACAGCATTTCTGATTTAGTATGTAGCAAGTTATTTGCACAAAAACATGCTTTTAATGCAGAGCTGTTCTTGCTCTCTATCAGACCCTGAACCCAAAGGCATGGGGAAGAAAACAGCTTAGAATTTCTCCTCTACCCATTGTGGGAGTATCAGCTTGCTTTATAAAATCATCTCACAAAGCAGCTGTTCAGGCTAATTCACACCAAAAGGAAATTACACAGCAGCAGGGATTTTTTGAAACTGGTTTTAACACACTGAACTGGAAAATTAATAATTTGTCCCCTCAAATATCAAATACTTTTAAATACATAAGCACAATGAAGATATTTTCCTCAATTAGGGGAAGAACCAATAGTGTGCACAAAACTAAGAAGTACAAGTGAACATAAAAGTCTCTTGAAAGGTCACTATGAATAAAACAAAGCCAAGAGAAAAAAATACAAGAATATAGTGTGTAGGAGAGAAACCTAACTACATCTGAGGTGATGATTAGGCAGTTTCAAGTCATAGATTGTTCTTTATTATTTCTACTACAGAATTTAATTACTGAATGTGACCTAAGGAGAAAGCCTTGCTGTACCTGAAAAGCCTCTTTTGGCTGTAATCAAAAATGTAGTCCATCCATAATTTAAAAGAACATTTTTGCTTTCAATCACTATTTTAAATTCATATGTAGTTATTCCCAAAAAAAATCCTATATACTAGGAAACAAAACTTGCTGAACTCACTCCAACAAATTAAATCCCAAATATTTGTCTGTAATATTTGAATTCAATCAAAACAACATAAAATGTAGATGAGTCCTTAATAAGAGAAAAGTTATGCTTTCAGTGATCTCATCTTAAACATATTGACCTCCTGAATCCTCTAAATTAATCTTATTGTCACATTGATCTGCTGAAGTTGGCATTTCCAAGACAAGCTATGAATAACAACAATTAGAACATAAAAAATTCCCCATCTAAACAGAATGAAGTCAGCCAAATATTGTCAATTTTAAACTTCAAGTGCCTGCCTTCAATAAAAGGCAAGACAAGCTTAAATTGTATTTGTTGCTCACAGTGAAGAGATTAGCTCAGTGAGTTTGAAGCACTTAGAAAAAGACTCCTGAAAACTTGAAGAAATCCCTCAAAAGTGTAAGCAATGATATCATACTGGTAAGATCAACATGATTGAGGTGGTTGACAATTATTTTGATAAAACAAGGATTCAGTTGTGCTCACTGAACTTTTAAAACCCAGATAAAAGTCCAAACTATTCCAGCCTAATCTCTAAAAAGGGAAGTTCATAAGAGAAAACAAAACTCTCGTTTTCGTACTCACCGGAACTTTACTTCCGACTATCTGCATGCAGTGGTCAGCCAAGAGAGGTTATTGTGTAAAAAAGATAATAATAATACATAAATAAACACAGCACAGCACTTAGCAGGATGTAGTTGCACACACATTTTTCAGTGTTTAATCATTAGTAGTAGTAACATTCTCTTATCACTTTATCAACCTGTTTAGGGGTTAGAGCTTCTCTACAGGAAAAAGCTCAAATGCTACTTCTCTGCATTTGAGCTCTACAGCAGGAGCATCAATTTCAAATTCTTATGTTTTGCTGCTGAATCCTCAGTATTTGACACATTTACCTACAAATAACTGAATACCTGTCTTGACAGCTACGTCTTGAAAGATTAAAAATGCCATTTGTTAAAATTATCAGGTCAGATACTTTACATATGACACTGAGAACACTAATGGCATACTGACTTCCTTGTATGTATAACAACTGCTTTTATTATGGAGCTTTTGATCTGTTTAGATGATGTCACCAATGAATTTAATTAAGTTTTTGTAATCAAAAACATAGCCTACAGTTATAACTCCAGCTTGCATTTCAGAAAATCTCACATGACATTTTTATTCAACTGCTCGGTATGGATGCTTTTAATTACATGGATAATTAAACAGTGATTTTCAGAATGCCATCTCCTCTTTACCATGGAACAGCATCTCTCTCTATTCATGAACAAAAAGGTGACTTTCCCCAGGGGAAGGTGCAGGCAGGCAGCACATCTGTGCCCCGTTCTGCCCCCTGCACAAATGCCCACAACGCTGGGAGCACACGGACATCTGCTCCAGCAGGGCAGCCTCTGTGCTCAGCTCACTGCACACCCACCTTCCTCTGGGCACCCCTGCTCTGCTCAGCCTCCCTCTGCTTCATTCTCTACTCTTTTCTCTCCCATTTTTCCTTTAGGAACTCTTTCGGAACACAAGTCCCTGCAAGTGTCTCACAACCAACACTTCTCCTCCTGAAGAAGTTTGCCCTAGGAGCACAGAAGGGATTGCCATCAGCAGACTATCTCCTCTCCTGATCGATCATCTTCTCCTCTCACCAGTGTTCAACTAGTCAGGGCAGCACAAAATGTCACCAGGGTCACTTCTGAAACAGAATCTCAATCCTTCACCAGTTCTCAGGTATCATTTCCATGGTCAACAATCTTTCTCTTCGAGTGAGAGAAGGAATGAGAAGCACAGAAAATCACTTCCCATGAAAGCATCCAGCTCATCAGCTCCTACACATCCTCCATGGCCAAGGAAAACTTTCTTCACCCAAAGTTCCTCTCTCAGAACTCTGAAGACAAGTGTTTCAGAAAAGCATGGTCAGCATGCTGCAGACAGCACACAGGCAGAGAAAATGAAGCACCAAATTGAAAATAATCTGGTTAAGACAACATCAGCAAATGAGAGTGATATTTTCACATGAAGGGAGGGAGCTCAAAAGCCTAATTAAAACAAACATGAAATGAACTGTAAGAAAAGTGACATCAACTGTTAAGTGTGTTTTGTGAGCTCTAAGCAGAAGGTCCAAGTGTAAAAAGGGAAGACAGATAATTATCTGTGACAAAAGAAAAAGGTAGAAAATTTAAAGACAGATCATTTTGAATGCAACCAGCATTTTCATGGAAGACAATCCTGGAGAAAGGAAAGTTTGACAATTCATGATGCAGTAAAGATTGAGTAGGGCTTGAATTCATTGAGCAGAATAGTAGTTGCACTGAACAGAAGATGAAATCACAAGTGAAAATGACGTTTGGCGCCACCATAAGATCCCAATCAACATTTTAAAATTAACCTCTGTATTTTAATTTCTTTTTTTTAACAATCGAGATGCTAGCTATTTAAAAGTTAAATTAGGATAACACAACAGAAAGGTAATGTGTATTTCTGGAAGATTCCATTCAAATGCTGTGATTCAATTGCAAGGAGGACATACTGAAGCACACAAACTTTAACATGAGTTGTTTTTCCTCTAGGAAAAACACTTTGCAATGTGTAAAACAGCCACACCGGCGCTGACTCAAGCCCAAAGTGCACATTCATGTACGAGGACCTTTTAGGATGACTTGGTTTTACATTATTAGTGCATTTAGGTAAATGTCTTCCCAGTTGTGTTACGTTTCCCATGCTGCAGCAGACATGGGGAGCAATGCAATGCAGGAGCATTTCAGCAGTGAGCCATGCAATGGCAGCCATGCTTTCCTTACTCAGCTGTGTTTCAATTGCAGTGTACATGACAGACATCACCACTGTTTAACTGCATCTTGGGGAAAAATGCAAATACTTCCATTTCTACTTCCACTTTCTACTGCTTCACTAAAGTATTTCTGCATACTAAGAAAAATTCCAGATTTAATATTGATCATCAAGTGAAGATAAAAACCTTTCAAAGCATAATTAACAGTTCCCAAAGACAGTCTAGTTCATAGTTCATAACATTCACTGCCTAAGCTTGAATAATTCTCCAGTAATTTGTACATTTAGTTGGACCATGCTTAAAGCTCTGGATTCCTTCCAGCACACACTAAAGGACTGTGGATTTTGTTGAAGATGAACTCATGCAGGATCATCACTCCTCTCAGAGCTTAAATCACCACTTCCATTCCCATTTCACCACCATTATAACACAAACTTCTCCTCACTCAAGTTTATAATGTTTCAGGCAAGGCATTTGCATAATAATTGCATGTCATTGTCATCTTAATTTTTGAAATTTAACTCTGCAGAGGTGATTTTCAAGGTTAACAAGTCAACTGTACTTCTTGCAGTCTATGCTTAAGGATTCCTTAGCCAGACACCAACATAATCTTTACTTATTTCTATATTTGCCACAGTCAACTTTTAACACACAAAGCATTGCTGGTCTATTTTATAACTAATTAGTACAAAAGTTCAACTGCAGAAAATAAACTGCAGCTGTTCACTACTTGAAATTTTATTTCTCTACCCTAAAAATGTGGGTGCATCCAGTCTTCAATTTCCTTACACTTCTTACAGCCCAAAGAAGACAGACTTCAAAAATTCTGTATGAAGGGTTAGTCAATCAATTAAATTACAGAGAATAATCAACATAATGAAAAGTTAAAACATTTTTTTCTATTGAAAATGTAATTTGGAGGGGATTTAAGACCATCCTTTCACTAAAGGAGTCTAGCACATACATTGCTACTGAAACCACAAACAAACTTTGGGTACCAAAAATTCTTAAGATGAATTGCACAGAAATATGCTCAGGTTCCATCCATGACTCTACATCATTGGATTTGCAATTTCTTATGGTTTCCAAGAAAGGACCGAGTTTTGACATTGCCCAAGAAGGCAAATGCAAGCTAACTGCTCAGATGCAGCTGCAAGCATTCACAAGTGAGTTAGCAAGTACACATTTATTTTTTCCTACCACTCTTAGATAAATCCAGATTAAAAAAATCAAGTTTCAAGCTTGAAAAGGCCAAGACTCCAAGCCAGACTCCCTCCTGAGGTGAGTACTTACGGATTTGGCAGTTGCAGAAATGTACTGGACAACCATCTCACGTTTGGTGCTCAGGTCCTTGTCTCGGAGAGGAGCTTTACGTTCCTCGTTCAGGTTCATGTCCTCCTGCACAGAGCCAGAGCACACAACATCAGCAACACAGCTCAGCATTTCCAGTAGTCTTTGCTCTTTTTAAGCTACTTTTGTTAAACAATTTTCAAACAAACAGAAGTGACTTTTTCCTGTTTGTGTGTGTTTGATTTTGCTTTACCTGATTTTCTCATTTAAATCTGTCACCTCAAGTGTTTATTGTTTTTGAGACTTACTCAAAATCTAAACTGAATCAAAGGGAGTTAACATCTGTAAAATTTGGCTCAAGAAGTAAAACTAGAGGACAACAATTCTACACCTCAAGTTGATGCAGAAGTGCCAACTCTTGAGATGTTCTGTGTTTGCAGTGAAATCTCATCACAGTGGACACCATTCCTGCACTATCTAATCAAAGGCTGTTATTACATGGATTAGTAGCTTGTGGAAGGGGTAGAGCTGAAACTGTTCCAACTGATGTATTTAAAACAAGCCTAAAAGTCAAAATGCTCTGCTAGATTAAATCTATTAGGACACTTCTTTTAACTTGCTAACAGATTAAATACAATGCAGTCATTAGCAGCCATGACTAGGCTTGCCATTGAAAGTCAAAGGAATTTCAGACTGGCACCTCAGAGCAGTCAATGCTCTGCAATCACTGCTGGTGAGCAGCCCTGTCACAGAACTTCAGTGTCTGTGAGACAGACCCATTGTCTGCTTCAATTACCATCACTTGGAAAAGTTAAAAACTAATCCTTTAACAAGCAAATCAAGCAAGAGTTAATTAACACTTATCCAATCCTTCAAAAGACATTCACAGCTCCACTGAACAGAACAGAGCCACCCAGTGGAACAGGGCAGTTCTCCCCACACCACACCTTACCATCATTTTTTCAAAGAGATCCATAACTTCTTTCTCTGATAAGTTCATGCAGCGCTCATCAACAAGTGCCTGGGCATGTGGGATCTCACTGATGGAAGGCTGGGAGTCAATGGGATGCTGAATGAGAGGCTTCTCCTTCTTCACAGCTGATTTCCTGAAGCTTGTGATTCTGTCACGCTGCAAAGACATCCCAAAATAAGCAGAAATAGAGAGAAAAGCAGCCAATTGGAGGGCAGCAAGGCACATGTTTTTAGTTAATTCAAGCAGCAGAGTTAAACTGAACTGTAAGTAAAAAATACTCTAATACTTAAGAGATTACTTTGCACAGAAAGACAATAACATTTAAGGTAAACTCATGGCAGGTCACATGCAAAAGGGATTTAAATAATTTTCACTGATCCAAAATTGCACCAGCTAGGTTAAACTCTTAGCACTTCAAAATCTTCAACTCATTTTCTCCCATTACTAATTACTGTGACAGTGAATAAATATGGTACCACAAAGGTAATGTCCACTTGTCCCTTCACCTGAAGGGCTGTAAGTCTTTGGAGGACAACTGAAAAAGGCAGCGTGGGGAAGGAGGTACTCACAAGTTCATCAGGCTTATAAAACATCCTGCTGAAGTAAAATAAAGTTGGCAGAGGCATTAATGCTCCAAGCATAGCTCCTAAGCCCTTGAAGAGTTTTTGAGGAGGAACTGGTGGAATTAGTGCTGAGCTTTAGGAAGGCAGTGCAGGGTTGCTCCCGCAGCAGCAGCACCAGGGTTAAACACACGGCCAGGGCTCTGGGTTAGGGCTGGCACCAAGCCCCACTCCTGGGCTGCAGGCATGCTCACTTATGGGTTAATGTTGGAAATACCAGCACCTTCCTTATAAGGCCATTTCTGTTGGATTTCTAACATGGAACTCTATTCTGGATAAAGTTCGAATTCTTTGATTTAATATCTTTTTTTGTATATTGATATATACACATATATATGTTCAATTTGAGAACATCATGCATACAGCAATTTTCCTCAAAGAACTGTTTGCATCCACAAACACCCCTGTATTTGTTTCAGACACTCAACAGCCTTATGAAGATGTGCTTTCATCTAACAGCAGCTTATGTAGGGTTACCAGGATCACTCAGAGCAGTCACGCTCATCTCCTCCAAAACTTGTAAACAAAATTTAGATTGGCTACAACAAAACAACCTCTCTGAGGTCTGAAATGTCTGATGGAGACAGACTTTGCTTGCAAAAATTCTGATTCATTTTAGATTAGTGAGTCCAGAATGGAGACACTAGAGTGAGAGCTGTGGAGTATGGAGAAGAAAGATTATTTTTCTGTTGCTTTGTTTGTTATTCATTTTTGGTTTTCATTGTTTTTGTTGTTATTGTTGAGATCCTATGAGATTACCTTAAATCTCTGAAGGAAAGTGTCCCTAGATAAGCTGCATTCCCTTTGAACTTCTTTTGAACTTTTTTTTGAGGTTTTGTTCCTTAGATATTTTTATATTTGTGGACAAAAGCACAATACCTATAAGGATACAGTTAATGTCTTCGACAAAGCAAGAACATAACTTTAATCCATTTTCTACCTTATTAGAATAGTTTAAATTACACTTAAAATTAGGGCATAGCCTGGTGAAAAGCCAAGGATATGACAGTGCCTGAAATGCAGTTTTATATTGACCATTCAACAGTCTCAAAAAGTCATTTAAGGATCCAATTGCACCACACTTCATCTGTTTCAAGTGTAACTTATTAACACCAAATTTGTTCAATTAGATTGCACCGGTGAGATCACTGGAAAGACACAAAGGCATCTCCTGTGTGTTTTCCAGGCACCATTTCCTCATTTCAGATGTGCAGACAATCATTAACTAAAGAACCAGTCTGGCTTTATTTTGTATATATATAATACAAGGCGGCAATTTTAATGAAATCAATTTTCTGAAAAAATACTTTGGAGCCAGTTCAGCTTTATCAAGTTAGTGCTACTGAGCACACACTTGTCCCTTGGCATTCAGTGGACATTTACTACCCAAAACGGTTCCACTTGAATCATGTGGCAACCAGCTTTGAGGAGGCACTGCAGCCCATTTACTGGTAAAGAGAAGGTCAAGAGAAATAACACTTCAGCTGTTGAGCAACAGTTTCAACATAGCCACAGCATTACTGAAGTATTTCACATGTGCTTAAGGAAGTTTCTCCAAATAGAAATCATGATTAATCTTCTTCAACTGAAGCCACAAATTAGGATCTTTAGGAATAGTCACTCAACTTTCTGACATCTAATGTTTAATATCCTTATAAGAATGTTATTTTGTCCACAACATTGAGTAAAGTAGCATGCAGCGTGGAGTTACCATTGCAAATTAAGATGCTACAAAGACCTTACCACATCATCTGCCAAAGTTTTTATTTGAATATTCTATTAAAAAAAACAAAAAACAACACACACAAATCAAAGAAAAAAAGACAGCGTTACCTACTGCTTCAGAATAAAGGAGTCTATTTCATGTAATTTAACATTAAAAAGCATTTGAAATTTCACTAAGTGTTCTAAAAACCTGCAGGCAAATGGACAAGAAATGTCCATTTTTAATATGTAAAAGCAAGCTTGCATCCCATTGCACCCCATCCTGTGGGTATGGAATTGAGGCACCCAAAGCCCCAGAGGTGCCCAGAGGAGCAGCCAGGGCTCCAGCAGGGTTTCCACAACAAACCCAGACTGTGCAGGGCCAGCAGTGCATGAGCAGCACACGGGGCTGTGAGCTCAGAGCTCAGCTCTGCCCAGGCTGTGCCCATTGTACCCCATCCTGTGGCTATGGAATTGAGGCAGCCAAAGCCCCAGAGCTGCAGCCCCCCAGAGGTGCCCAAAGGAGCAGCCAGGGCTCCCACAACAAACCCAGAGCAGGGCCAGAAGCGTGTCAGCAGCACACAGGGCTGTGAGCTCAGAGCTCAGCTCTGCCCAGGCTGTGCCCACAGCCCTGCAGCCCCTGCCAACTGCGCTGGCCACTGAGTCACGGCAGCCCGGAGAGGAACTGGCTCAATCACTGAAGTGATGATGCACAAACCACCCTCCCTCCCTCCCTCATCACTTCTTCCTAAGCAGGAAAATCCTGCTGACAGCAATCACCAGCGTTACACTTTTATTCATGGCCAAAAAAGCCACCCATACTGCACACCAACATCTACAGTCATTATTGAGGAAACATTTGGCTCATGAACCTTGCTCAGCTGACACAAAGCAGCCATGAAAGGAGTTCAGGTCTAGACCTCATGGGGGACAGAATTTGAGAAGCATTCAGAAATCCATGGGACAGTGGAGAGGACTGACCCCAGCTCCCAGGTCAGTCCCCACTCATTCCCTCCCAGCAGGATCATGGAGCCAATCAGAAGTACAAAAGCAAGAAACACTTGATGGGTGAGATATAATGTAATAACTGATGGGAATAAAGAAAATAAAGAAACAAATAAAAAAGCCATCATTTGGCACCAGCAGGCCAATGCCTACCCAGCTTCTGAGCAGCTGATGATTTGGAAAAACTGCTCCTCCCCGCCCTGCAGCCCTGCCTTTGCTGCCCAGCAGGATGTAAAACGTTTTGGAATGTCTTTGGTCACTGAGGATGAGCTGTCCCAGCTGTGTCCCCACCTCCAGGCCACCCACCCTGCTCCTGGAGGGAGCTCACAAGAAGCAGAAATCCTGCAGACTGGGAAGGGCTGCTCAGCAAGAGCTGAAGCACTGGGGGGTTCTGTCTGTCTGTGCTGTTTTGGTCACAAATGTGACACAGCACCAGATGGGCTCTTCTGAACCAGCTCCACCTGAGTCTGACACACACCTGCACATCCAGGTGTTGACAGCAACCTTTCACCTTCCAAACTGTCACATCTCAACACCCTTCCTTACACCTCTCCTGTATTATCCTCATCTGGGCTTATATTTTACAAATATGGAAAATATCATCTTGAAATCAAAGCTAAGATGTGCACTTACCACTCTGGTAAATAAACCTTTTAATTGAGACTGCAGAGAAAAATGAAGTAAAGCCTGACCCTGTTTTTAATAAAGAGACAGCCAGGCAAGCAAGAAGTTCTGAAACTCCATATACATTTTAGGAACTACTTGTATGAGAACATTTTTTCCCCTTCTCATTTAAGTACTGTCAATCTCTGCCAGAAGCTGCAACAGGATCATCTACCCCATCTCTACACTTATATTGCATTTGTCACTCAAACTCCTCTGGGCAAAGTACAGAACACTAAAACAAGATAGCACACTGCACTTTTTCAGACCCAGATTTCCTTCTGGTGCACAACTCCACTGCTGCCAGCAGCCACTCGAGATAAGCAGCACATCTAACAGGTAGCAGAGACACTGCAAGGAGCTGCAGGCAAAGCCAAGGCACTTCTGTACCCACAGATCCTCACAGCATCTGACAATCTCTTGTGCTAACAAAGAAATTGCACTTCCAGGCTGATTTCAGAACATAACCCAAAAGTAGTTTACCTCCCTAGAAGGAAATTTAAGATACTGTAGATTGTGTAGTCCTCCAGCATTATTCTTTCTGCCATCTATGAGGCAGCCAGAGCAACACAAGACAAAAATCTGCACTTTCCTGGCTTGTTACAGACACTGAGTCCCTGTCTGCAGGAGCAGCCCAAGGGAAAAGGCTTCACAAATATCCCTGGGGAAACATTTGCAGATAAGGGATATCAAATTAACATTTATATCTAAAACACATATACAATTTAAGGCAGCTGTAGATCATCTCTCTCTCCTAGTTAAAATACCAACACAAAGCACAGAATTTCTTCAGCATCTATACCAGAGAATCACTTCCTACTCACTTACTTAGTTCTGTACTTAGAAGATTTAAGAGATAGAGATTCTCCCTTTCAAACAGCCTTCCCAGTCCAACAGTTAATATCATTTTCTAGTCCCTCTCCCCAGTCTGAGTTTACTCTGTGCATCTGGCTACTTTTATAAGCACCGACAGATCATGACAGAAAAACACACAAAAATAATAACATCTACTAATGCACCTGCGGCAGACAATTCTTTATCTCAAAAGGTCTCAGCCAAGTTAATACTCAGAGTAATTGAAATCTTGCACATGACAACAGCACAAAGATATTTGTGGATCTCTACATTTCCTGATGCAGAAATCACTCCTTCCTCATGCAAACAATGCAGGCTACAGCAGCAACAATGTCACATTCACAGAACCCAATTACTTGAGGCGATTGCACCAACTTTTAATACAAAATTCACAGCAAGTCTACTTTTTTTACATCTTTCCCTAACTTGTGTTTTAATAAAACCTTCCAAATCACTTAAGCTGGCCACGAGTTGTACACTGAGGTGCATTTCCAGTGATTGATTGTTTTTAAGTATTACTTTCTCATGTTCTTAATTGTTATGCTCAGGAGTCTCACTCTCACCACAAAAATCAAATCAGCAGTACAGTAACTCCCAGATCACCACGTGCAGGATGAACAAGGATCAGCTGGGGAACTTCTAAACCTATCAGCAATTTTCCCTTTACTGCCCAGCAAGTGTGATGTGCTGGAACACCCATCTCTGCAGCCAGGCTGAAGCTCAGGGAACTGCTCCCACTAAAGCTCATTTTCTAGGGGTAGCAATCAGAAACTTGACCTTCTCTCAGCTTCCATGCTTTTTTCTTTTTTTTTTTAACTGTGCTGATATTTCCATTTTCTAAAATCTACCTCACTTTCAACACCTGCAAAAGCCATGGTAAAGCCCCACTCAACGACAAGAGCTTTTAATTTGCACACAAGCAGGAGAGGAATAACTTCCCAAATGAGCACCTGAACCCAAGGAGTTTAAAGGGACAAATCCCAGCCTGGCTAATATTTGAAATATAAAAAGTTGTCTGCATCTTGAATGTAGGTCTTAGTCACAAAATAGAAATCACTCCTACAACCTCTGTTCTTCAGTTCAGAGAATGAATAATGTTCCCATTAGACAATTTAGCCATCTGTTAACATATTCAGTTTTGGAATTAAATCTGAAAAGGCACCTAGGAAATGGCGAAAAGATACCCAAGCTATAAAAGCTGATGTGCAGAAACCAGGACTACACACTCATTTAGGCCTTTCAAGATCTTTACCCATGATGAAGTATACCTGGCATTTTGTGAATTATATTTTTGCTAATTTTATTACTAATGTTTGTTTTAGCGTAATATTTTTCACACTTTGAGGAGCATTCACCATGCTTTCAGAAAATCCTTGAAATGACTGTTGTCATCCATCTGCTTCCTCCAAAACACTTGAATTGAGCAATACCAATGGTTTTGTTACTATTGTTGTACATTTACATTTGGGCTATATGACACCATATGGAAAAAATCTTGTTTGCCTTGCAGCTGCTTGCTTCACAAACTCCTTGAATGTGCATTATTCAAGGTTTTAAATGAAGGCTTAAGCTGGAGCTGAGCATGGAGGGAAGCACGGGCTGCCCAAATGCAGATGGAGAAGTGCTGGCATCCCTGAGTCAGGGCAGGATGGCACCACCGCCCCCAGGGAAGCTGCCAGCCTTGCCCACTTTCTCCACTTTTTCCCCAGGAGAATGACCATCCACAAATGAGCAATGCTCCAGAAATACGTTTGATAATTCCCTGTGCTAAATAAAGCCCGAGGGTCAGCCAGGCTGGTAAATCATTAACAGCAGAGGGCACCAATCCTTAATCACCTGCTGGGAGATGCCTCAGCACTGCTCCCAAACAGAAGGGAGGGAACAGATGCCACAGGATGGGGATCATATCAGACACTCCCCTCACAAATGCCAGGGGCTGAGGATTGTCAAGCAGCAAATTAATTCAGAAATTGGGAAAAAAAAATCACTGTAAACAAACAGTCAATTTCATCAGCTTTGTAACTGAAGATACAAAAGGAGCTGAGGAAAATACCTGAACTTTATATACATATATAAAATTTGAAGCTCAAAGTGCCATTACTGTTTTGAAAAGTTTGTTTCAGACAAGGTTTTCTTGGTGCTCATTGATAAGCAAGCTTTAAAAACAGAAGAAAATTACAAGCTTTTTCCAAAAGCTGCAGTTTATGTCAATCTAAGCCAACAAAATTGCTGGGTACGAGACACAGGGCAAGGGTGGCAGCAGGACACCCAGATCAGGTTAGGCTGATCTGAGACACATCTGCCAGTGCAGAGGGAAATGAAGGAAGTCCTGGCATTTTCCAGAGGCACAGCTGAAATGCAAACACTGCCATCAGCAGCTGTACCAGACAAGGGCCCACACCCCTGCTCCCCAGGCAGAGCCAGGAGCTGGGCCCTGCTCTGCTCCCTGGGCACTGTGGAGGTGCAGCAGCTTTTTCATTAGAGACAGCATGATCTTCATAGCACA